GAGGTATACCTATGATGAAAATTACAGGCCTCTCTCATCTTTTTAAGTGGGAGAACTTGCACAATTGGTGGCTGACTAAATACTTTTTTGCCCCACTGTACATAAATACATATGTGATCCTAAGTAGGGTTAAATATCCATGTTTAATACTATATCTAATATAACATTTGTACAGATGAAGAAAAAATATTAAGAACAATATTGTTAATATAAGTGACTATAAGGTGACCAGATTTAAATAAATGTGTCCTTCACTGTAGGGTTCTTGTGTTAGTTTTTCAGAGTGATTCAGAGTAATTCAGATTAATTTTGCAGAGTTTTCGATGTCACTGATCCAATGAAAGCATTCTCCTGGTCTCCATCATTCTTTCCACTGACTCATTCTGTTTTCATGAGCTTAAATATAGTTCTCCTTTTCCTACTTGTGCCTCCCTATGTTTCTCTTGTTGGGAACTACTTCTGGAAAATATTATTATCCTTCCGTCTGGTAAGATGATGTTCCCTGTCTTGGTTTCAGACCCCAATCCATGAAGCTCATCTGACACATTCCCCACCATCCCAGGGTTTATGAAGGGATAATGACGTGTTTTGTTGACTGGAACAATGATATTGGTCCAAATTAGCAAAACCAAAACCAGTCTATGAGAAATAATCACTGGTAGCTCAGACAGATAGCATAAATGCTATTCATTGTGAGAAACATTGGAGAAGGAAGTTATAAATGTATTAGAACAATTTTCCCCAACTTGCTACTCTACAAATGTGTTGGGATTCAACCCCGCGAATTCTCAGTCACAGCGCATCTGAAGACCTCAAGTTGGGAAAAGCTCTATAAAAGTGACTCTTATTACCATGCAGGAAAATACATACATATTGATAGATAGATCTATAGATAGATAGATAGATAGATAGATAGATAGATAGATAGATAGATAGATAGATAGATAGATAGATAGATAGATAATGTGTCATCAAGTCATTGTCAGCTCTCAGTGACCATGTAAATAGATTTTCTCCATGACTGTCCCTAAGCTGGTCCTTCAGGTCTTCCAATGGTCTGGAAGACCTAGTCCTTCCACTGTAACTGAGTCCATCCACCTTGCTGCTTGTCATCCTCTTCTTCTCTTTCCTTCACCTTTCCCAGCTTTAGAGCCTCCTTCACAGAGCCAGGTCTTAAATGACTGAGATTTCCAGTGAAACTTTTGACCTCTGGCAAAGGAAAGAAGCAATGTATGTTTGAGGAAAGCCATATTATTTACTAAGTGGTCCCAAATCATGCAAATGGCAAATGATAAACACACTTGGGTTTTATCCCCGTTGGTAAGCCTGTTCCTAGAAAATATTGCATTATATTAACAGTGAAGAAATTTCTAAACCCAATGGCCCTACCTCACCCGTAGTCGTGAGACCAGCTGCATATTTATTTTAAAGCCCATGAATCCCCTAGTACTTTTTCTTTTCTTCTTTAGAAGCTGCATGCTAAAACCAATGGTCTGAGGGGAGTTGGGGATGAGGTTGAGGTATGTAAGCGTATAAAAAGTGACCTTTAGCTGCTTCCCTGAGGAATAAGCACCTGGATTTGCTTGAGAGATGGAAAGTGCATTAATTAGATAAAAGCCTCTTTCTGCCCATTTCTCTTGCTGGAGTGAGATGACTGACTTCCTAGGAATCTTATTGGGTCACAATGGCTGAGAGTCATAACCAGTTATTTGTAGATTGTTCTCAGGAGTTTTCTACATCATGTAGCTGAAGCTGTAGACAAGTCAGTATAGAAGCTGTAGAGTTAAACATTCATCTACTGGTTAGAAGCCTACCCAACACCTCAAAATGTACTTCAATTAGAAATAAAATGAATGTGTATCTACTTTAACAGTATAAAATGTGTTATGCTTACAAGAGAATAATGATTGTGTTTAAACCAATAGAAGCATTTAGATAAACCTTTGATAACCAACCATCAGAGTTCCTGAAATGATTTGCACTTTTGCATAACAAAATTATGCCCAAGTGACAGAACTGTGGTACATTCTCCAAATGAAGCTAGTATTTTCTCTTGTAACCATTGAAATGTGACATAAACAGGAAAACCGGCAATCTAGCTCCTGTGTTCTTTCTAATTGTTAACTTAGCCTGTTACTTCACACATTTGTATGCTGTCAAATTTCATTCCAACTCCTGGCAGAATTGAGGCTGCAGTTATTAACGTATGAGTCACTTGGATTGAGATGGGCGGCTATAGAAATTGCATAAATAAATAAAATAAAAAATAAACGATGTCTTGTCTGAGGCCCAGTTTGCTTACCTTAAGAAAAATAATTTTTTTTTGTAATTTGAATTATAACTATGTTCTGAAGGATTATTGTTTTATTTACTTTTATAGGCAGATTTTATTATTTCTTTCTTTTGTTGATAAAATGGGCAGTTTAACTTTTTGTAGGAACTATGCCACATGAGCTAAAGAAAGCTGGAAAAGTGTTTTGATTTATCTTTTAGTTTCAATATTATGTTTTAAATTAGGCCATGATTTATCATGATTATTCTGACCAGTAACAGAGGCCTGTAATAATTCCATTATATCTTTCTTGCAAAAAAATCAGAAAAAGTAGCATCTTTTTCGACTAACACATTTTATTAAAATTTGATTAAATTCTGACTAAAAATTTGTTAATTGGAAAACACACTACCAGACATTTTTTGCCACCATAGACTAACCCAGTTCTCCTCCTACAATATCTTTCTTGCAGGAATTTTGAGGCACAGGGTATGGCTCAGTCAAAGAGATATGCCAAAATTCTTTACGATTTCACTGCTCGAAATGCAACCGAACTGTCAGTGCTGAAAGACGAAATTCTGGAGGTAAAAGAATGAATCCAAGATCCTTGCAAATAACTGGAAAAGGGAGGTGAGAGGTGGGCATGAATCACCTGGGCTTTGAATGGATCCTTCAATCCTCCACACGCAATATTCCATATAAGATTTTTCAGGGCAAGTAGGAGAGAGAACAAAAGCTGCACTTTAATACTCCCCAGCACTAACAGGAGTGTGATGGAGAAGACACGCATGGGCAGCTTTCATGCTGGCTAGTAATTTTTAAAGCTGAATGGGCAAGGAGCAGGAGGCCCTGGGCCCTGGGAATAGAAGATTAAAAAGCAGATACAGTACACATTTACTTGTTTGCTAGCAAGATTTTTCTATAAATTATTTGAAAGTGATACTATATTCTCAGGAAAAAAACACTCCATAATGTTTACAAAATAGAAATAACTATGTGCTCAAGACCATAAAGAGTGACTTACTGGTTTAATTGTGCAAGGAGTGTAAGGTGAAGATTCCAGAGGAGATGTTTAACCAAACCATAGAATGTAATCTTTTGTAGCAGATGAATTACAGTGGTACCTTGGGATACGAACTTAATCCGTTCCATGACTCTGGGCGTATCCCGAGTTGGTC